ATGGCGATACCATAATCGCCAGAGGCCCACAGAGGAAGAGGAGGTCAAGTTGAGATATTCGAGACAGGACGCATCCAGCTTTGATACTATAATTTCCTGGATTTCACTTCAAGTACCTAGGTTTAATATCAATTTCGACAGCTGCAGCACTCGATAAAAAGGTTGGCATGGTATTTGAAAGGAACCTATTATGACATATCCTAACCACCGTACCCATATTCCATAAAACATCCAAGAAGCAATAACACGAGCCCGATATCCATCATATGCTCGGAACCAACTCCAGCTTGCAGATGCCCTTCGTAATCCCGCGCACGCCCTCCGGCCCAATGTCCAGCTTCTCGTCCGGCAGGCTCCTGACGGGGTGGCCCCAGGCCTTGACGCCCGTCTTGTCCTTCCGGAAGTTCTGCTGGAAGTAGCGCGAGAGCTCGACGGCCTCGGCGCCGCGCGGCAGCATCTCGGCGTAGAAAGCGGTGAGCGCGCGGTGCAGGGCGGCGTCGTCCGGCGTCTCGAGCTCGGTGAGGAGCTTCCCCAGGTGCAACGCGTCGCGCATCGCGTGGATGCCGCCCTCGGCCTTGTACGGCATCATCAGATGCACGGCGTCGCCGAGCAGTATCGTCCGCCCCAGCGGGACCTCGTCCAGGTGGCAGTCCGTGGGCACCCACCCGATATCCCGGATCCCTTCCGGGGTCGTCTCCTCGAGCACGCGCTTGAACTTGGGGTCCAAGTGCGCTGTCATCCTCTTGGCGATCTCGAGCCGCTCGTCTCGCGGCAGCGTGTTGACCGCGATGCGGCCGGTCTGCTGGGCGAGCGGGTCGTGCCACGAGACAACCCAGAAGAATGAGCCGGATTGGCCGTCGGGCGACACTTGGGTGAGGCCCATGAATAGGTTATTCCATGCGTCCCCGGTGGTAATTGGTATGATGGCCATGCTGTGGGCGATCTCTAGTTGTTTCGCGAATAGTTCCCCGCTCAGCTTAGTCTCTCCGGTAATCGAGCTGATGGGAACGGGTCTCAGCACTTCCTTGTTCGGCTTGCCGAGAACATGCTCTCTGACTATCGGTTCATTAGAAAGATTGCGTCGTTTGACGTTAATTCTGCGTTGAGGATTTTTACCAATACTGTTGGCGCCGTCGGCACCGACGACAAGGTCGCCTGTTGCGGTCGTACCATTATTAAAGGTAACAACCATCTTGTCGCCTACCCTCTCAATCTTGTTGGCAACTCTCCCATACTGGACGTTGACCTTGGTCGCCAGCCACTTCCGGAGCAGCAAGCGGTTTGCTCGCAATGTTGGTGTAGAAGGGGAGTTCTCCGTGCCAAGACGGTCGTTGTGAAAATAAAAGACAACCTGGGTTTCTAAGTTGAGGGGGTTGAGATGGTGGACCGACTCCTTGAAATTGGGCATATCATCCGGGAAGGCCTTGAATAGCTCATCCAGGACGCTGATGATTTGAATATCGGTCTTAGATTCTAGATGCTACAATTACTGCGATAATCTAGAAAATGCGACACTTACCTGTGCATAGTAAGAGACCATCCTTGAGCTCGGGCAACTTCATGCTCGTCTCTCTCAAAGATCTCGAACGGAATGCCGTTCTTTCGAAAGACTTGGGCAAGGGTCAGGCCGCCAAGCCCGGCGCCAACGATCAATACCTTCGGCTTGTATCCTGGTCCGCCCGTGGTCGGTTCGATTACTTCTTTCATTTTTGATCATAGGTAGACAAGAAAATGCGCATCCCCCTACTCAACGACTCTCAGGGGCAGAAAGCCCCCTTCTTGTATCTTGCGGGTTATCATGGCCGATTGGTGTTCCATGGGAAAGACCCCAAAGGATTCGGCTAGTCATGCATAGTACGAGCGCTCTCGTCTCTCTTTTCGCGACCAGTTTCGGCGACGGAGTATCTCCCATGCCCCTTACGCGGGTACCCAGCACACCACTTGGTTCGCGTCTATCAGCTTTGTCACACAGCGGACGGTATATCAAGCGAACTATTGGTTGTCTGACCCCAGCTGAAGCGTAAGGTCAGAGCCGCCCATAATGATTCTCCCGACGGCGTTAGATAAGGCGAACAACCGCCTCTAGGCCTTCTGTTTCTCCGTAATCGTACGTCATCCGCTGATTGTCCATATGTGAACATTCGAAATCGATTAGATGAGATGTCTGCAAACGTAGCCTCGCGGGTTCAGATAATAGGAATAATGCTTCTAGAATGCTGCTTACCTACCTACTGTGATTGATCACGCGAAATATTCCATTCGAGCGGTTCTCGTTTTTAGAAAGCCCCATTTCTCAGCTCCATGCCAGCCCCCGCCATGTATAGCATCAGCTTACGTCAGCTAGGCAATTAAGTTCATGTTAGGTGTTTAGTCAGCCAGGCTGTGTAGATATCTTCGTGGATAACCGCTTGAGAAGATTCAACGCGCTTAATGTACCTAGACACCTTGGATGACAAGTTCAGCCGCAAAGAAAACCATAAGGAACCTAGAGCCGGAGCTTACGGCCGGCCAATGGATGAGAAGGGAAACTGTCGCAAGCCTTGACGAACCGAAACTACATCCATCCGACCCGATCCTCTAGCGCCGTAACGCTTTAGTCTTTAGTGTGTCATCCCAACACTACGACACCACCTCCGTCACCCCCCGTAGCGCCGGGCCGAGTCTTGAACACCGAGCCAGACTTCAAAGCCGGATCTGCTTCGGACCCTGATGGATTTGTACCACACGATGTATATCCCGTCGTCCGCAAGTGATTGAAGATAGGTCGGCGATAAGTCGAGTCTACCGAAATGACAGCTCGACAATCCACGACGAGCCCATGCTCAAACGAGCACTTGGCTTCGGTGAATACGTAAAGCATCTGATGTACCAAACACACCTATACATTCTAGTGCTACTGGAATTTCCGAAAATTTCCGAATTTGTTAACGGCGATAAGGCAAATCTGGTCGCGATGACTACGAACGAAGCAATTTCGTCAGAACTCTTTTGTTAACTACCTATCCATCCAGGAGCTCCGTATTCTTTACCATTTACTGTCATTCTTGACTAGAGATTGATGCTTTCGGCTTTTACGTTTTGCGCGTCCGCCTCCAGTCGTATGGTGTGAGTTGCCAATTTTAGACTTAGCAATAGATGCATCGATGACCCCCCATCGACAACTCCTCTTGGCGAGCCAACGCTGGGGCCCAGGCAAGTAAGCGGACGCATCTTGCATTGCTATCTCCTCTTGCCGCAGCTTATAGTAGGAGCTCATCGAAATTGACTACCGGCTCAGCCTGTCCGGATCATCTTGCAGAGATGACGGCTAAATATGACTCCACGACTCTAAGCGGTGCGAATCGCAGTACCGTACGTCCCACCTTGCTTATAAGTACCGCGAAAATATATGCCGGGAATATAGGCCCATGAGGGTCGATCTGCGGCAACGTCTAGAAGCCCCCCTCCTTTTCCCCTATCTGTTTTATACAAAATGAGGCGGCCATCTCGAAGCTTGCGCTCGGAGGCGAGACAAACTCCACACCCTTGAATTATCCCGACAGAGAAAGTAGCCATGATCTATTCGGTTTTGTTAGCGTCCGTCGGCCTCGCCTCTCAGGCGTTGGCAGCCTGCACTCGGGAGTTTCTCAAGGAGGCCACGGCGTCGTACGTCAACGCGGTGGTCGCGGGCGACCTGAGCATCGCAGCGCTGTCGAGCAACGTCAGCTACCTGGAGAACGACGTGGTCACGGACATCAAGGCGGGCGTATTGTCGCAGCCCATTAAGGTCGACTTCAACCGCAGCCTGCACGACGCGACCCAGTGCGCGACCTTCACCGAGATCTCGGCGGCGACTAACGCGCACCCGTACGTCATCGCCACGCGCATGCTCTTCACGGACGACAAGATCACGACGATCCAGTCGGTCGTCGCGGACGACGGCGACTGGGCCTTCAACGCGACGGGCCAGCTGTACTGGAACAAGCAGGAGGCGTGGGACGTGATCCCGGAGGCCCAGCGCGACAGCCGCGAGGTGATCCAGCACGCGGGCGACGCGTACCTCGACAGCTGGAGCGACGGCAGCGTCAGCGTGCCGTACGGCACCCCCTGCGCCCGCCTCGAGGGCGGCTCCTACACCGACACCCGCAACACCAAGCAGAACACGTGCTACATGCCCGTGTTCCCCGAGAAGTTCACCATCGGCAACCGCCGCTACGTCATCGACGAGGAGGTCGGCGGCCTCGACATCTTCAACGACTTCCCCTTCATCGACCAGGACAAGCCCGACGGCACCCCCAGCACCAACTTCATCCGCGTCGAGGGCGGGAAGCTCCGCTACATCCACGAGACTACCATCTGCACGAGGCGCAACTGCGGGCTATGAGGAGGGGTCTGCTTATCAGTAGCGATAAATATAAAACGCTGTTACATGGCGGGCGACGTAGTCGTCTAGTACTTTATTGATTCCTCGCCCAATTTTATTCGAGCTCCTTTAGGTTATTTTCGCCGTGACTTGTATGAATTATATGTGTTTCATGCAGTACTATAGTTAGAGAACTAACCGACAGCCCGACCTAGAGCTGTTCGTGGCCGCAGCGATCGAGTCCTGCATGTACTCGTTGGCGGGTGTAGAATAATTATGTAGGTATTTCATTCGTACTTGTACTTGTGGCTTTTATAAGTACGAAGATAGAGCCGAATCCCTGACGTCCCTGAATTATTATTCAGGTATTGGCACCCCAGAGGTAAAATTCGTTCTAGCGACATCGTATCTGCAATACATTGCTGAACAAGGACTGGGAGGAGTATGCCTGCCTCAAGAATATAGCTCATAGTCACAAATGCTATCTTCTTCTTCTTATGCGAAAATTATGCTGGGATACTTGCCGTGAATTTGGCCCCTTACAGTTAGTTAATTGCCTTACACATAGCTACCTAAGGTAGCTATGTAAAAGATGTTCAAACACCAAAATGAGATAAAGTGAGGAGGGTGGTCATAAAAACAAGTTCAAAAGAAGAGACTCCGAATCGGGGAATCGAACCCCGGGCTCGGGAATGAGAATCCCACATGTTGTCCACTACACCAATTCGGATTTCGTTGCTGTTGTTTTTGTTTGACTCTGATGTTGTTTTGGTATGTAAGGTGCATGTGTAGGAGTCATAAGGATGGAAGGTGTAGAGTAGCTCTATGGGACAGACGCAGCTACCCGTCGAGCAAACAACGAGCATCTCAGTCACATGATTACCTCTATCAACCACACATAACTTTGAAAGTGGTGGAATGTACGAAAAGATGGTTCTAGGTATATTTTATAGGCTGTGTTAGGCTGTGTTGAGGTCAAAGGATTCCTAAAATCGATGCATCAATTACTGTGACATCTCGAAAACGTACAGCAACAAGATGGGTCACATGCAATTGCAGCCTACGGAAGACAGCTAATATTACTCAGGGGTTATCGAGTACATGTATTACCCAAGGTGTACTTGGATGAAATTTGCAACAATGCGAGAATTTTACCTTTAGGTGGTTACCAAGATGCTTGGGTCCCTTGACCAAACATTGACTGGTCTCCTAAGGCACTAACTTGGTGAATCTTGCCCCTCGGTTATTCCACTTTCATTGCATACCTACCTAGGTATTATGGTATTATGCCACAGTACGTCCAACCAAAAATTCACTAGTGTGTTTGCTAGGCACCTGCGTTGTTGCGGTGGTTACTTTTAAGTGCGGCTCTGCTGTAGGGCTGCTCGGGGCGACCAAATCAAAACAGTGGGAGACCAATGGGATGTTTGGCAGTACTGTTGCCAGGTATTGACATCATTTGTTTACCTATCACTGGACCTGTCGACGCAGCCCCTCTGGAAATCTATATAAGTGTGTGGAATTTCCTACCCAAGCTCATCTTTCCAACTTTTCTTCCCAACTTCCACATCCCAATTCTTCCTCCCATCCCAGCTCCCAACCTTTCTTCCATCTTTTCTTCCCATTATCCATAACATTCCCAACTTCTATTTCAATCCCATCACATTCCCATCTGATATTTTAATCCCACCCTGCCTCCATGTTTGCCAACCTTCGACCTACCAACCTTCGAACTGCAAGGCTTCAACCTGCCAACAAAATAACAGACCAATCGTAAGCCATTTGTCCTTCTCTTAGTACCATCATCCCCCATCGCTATCTTCTATCATTACCTTCTGTCACCTTTACCTTCTATCATCCTTACCTTCTGTCATCCTTACCTTCTATCATCCTTACCTTCTATCGTCAGTACCACTTGTCACACTCTTACCTTCATTTGCCAAACTTGTCACCTTCATTTGTCAAGCTTATCACCTTCATTTGTCAAGCTTGTCACCTTCCATCATAACCTTCCACACCATCCCTTCTCATGATCCAACTAATCCAATAGGACCGAACCGGCCACCGACCACCACGCCAAACCAGTGTCGTCCCACCGCGGGTCGGTAGGGGGGCTTGCTCTCCTTCACGGTGCCCGAGTCTTCGAAACCTCTACTTAGCGCCGCGCTCTGCCTCGTCAAGAGATACATGCATATAGTCCGTTTCGGGTTGAGCGTTAGCCCATATTGAAGACGTACCGGTGTACCAGCGTTCCATGTCACAATTTTTTCTAGTGTCCGAACTGCCTATGCTCTCCCGGGGCCTTGAAAAAGGCAGTAAGCTCGGCTACACTCGACCGCACGTAAGTCAAGCGTATTCCATTTGGGGGCTTCCACTTCGGTGGCGTTTCCTTGGATACTGCCTTTTGCAGTCGGCGGGTGCGCAGTACAGACGGGAAGGGGTGTTGCGCGAGGTGGCCTGGTCAATCAAGCGAGGGTACTCCGATGATGCGATTGTAAGTTCTCCTGTCGGCTCAACGTGGGGCGATACTACTCGAACCGAACAAGAACAAGAACCAAACCGACAAAGACTTCGACTGTGGGGATCAGGGGGATAAACACTTACAGAGAGTTCAGTAGCATACCTCTACCTGATTCTCTAACACGTGCTCCAGAGGAGCATCACAGTAAAGCTCTCAATCGCTTAAACCATCCTGACGCACTTGATCGTCTGGGTGGCTACTAGTTGAAATACATTCCAATACCACAGGTCTTATTCCTGTTTACATGTACATAGACCCTTCCGTAAAGTTATGATAATAATACACGCCTCGTTTTATGCTTCGTGTCTCCTGTAACCCTCGATGGGCACTTGGGGCTCGTCTACTGTGATATGTATGTGATATCTTCCTTTCCTATTGCTGGAGCACCTACTGACCTAACGATGATGATAATGATGATGACCATCACCACCGTAAGTTGACACGAAACATGACCAACTCTCCAGTCTCTACAATCATCGCCGCCCGGTGATTATCGAGTACCCCATCCCTTCAAGATTCAAGCCCAAGTCTCACATCGACACCCCTATCTATCAGTTGCGACCCCGGCAGCGCATTGCAAGTCCATAAATATATACCTAGGTACCTAGTAGATACAGGTAGATTACGTACGCACCTTACGTAAAGCCCCAGCACCCAACTAACACAAACAACCTGCAATGCGCACGTGGAAATCCCAGCGGCACTTCACTGAGACGCTTCTCCACACCGTACCCACGAGTTATCCAATATCCAATATCCAACACCCAATGTCTCTGTGTCTCTGGCTAGACCCGCCTTCCTTCTAACATGTACTATGTAGGGTACGTACCCATGAACATGCACCCCCGTTATCAAGCCTCGCACCGTTAACGTCTGACGTTGAATGCATCCTACCAACATCCTAAGGGCGTCGGACCTCCGATGGCGACCAATTTTTCTTCTCGCGCGCCACGCTACGACGATCACCCCTAATCTATTGCCAATGTGTACCGCAACTGCCGTGAAACATACAGGCTATTACTTACACAAATTTCCCCTCCTCGTACGGCAGACAGATCTGCAGTAACCTCACAAGTTCCCCGTCCCGACCCCTCGGGACCGATAGGATCCAAGCGAGCTTGGGGCAGCGGCGACCACCATTCGGGTCCAGTCCCGAATCGCATATCACCAGGGGAAGGGGTCCACGGCGCGACGGTACCGAAAGATACGAGAGGAGAACAAGAATGTTCCTTGAAAACGAAACCTAGCCACCTACCTATATAAAGAAACCCCATCTATACACCCGTGTATATATGGTACACGCCTGCCCCCCTTCGTACCACATCAATATCCTTTCCGTCACATCCCTTCGGGGGATTCTTTATATTTATTTATATATATACAATTATTGAAATAAGTTGGGTATGTGCTTTCATAAAGCTAAGATACCGACCATCCAGCCTCTATAAGACCTTTTTATCAATCCATTCCATTCCATGAAATCGATCGATCCTCCGCCCGCCAGTCCATCTCCTGGTTCACTTGTACACCATAGAAGCGAGCCGAATATCGTACAACTAGCTATTTACTGCCATGTAGCAGCCTGGGTCGGGTCCTGCAGCGGCGTCTGGTTTGTGTAGGCGCTCATCTGCGGGCCGTGCGCCATGAAGCCGCCGTACTCCTGCATCAAGAAGTTCCAGTCCATCTCGCCGCCGAAGTTGACGTCCGGGAACGCCGTCGCGAATTGTCTGTTCATGTCTATGTTCTGCATGCCGCCGCCGAACATGTCGGTGTCTGGGTACAACGGCATCGTACTCGGCACGGCTTGGGGCTCGGGCGGCGTGGGGACAGCCGAGACGTAAGCGCCGCTGATGACGGGAATCTTCGGCGAGGGCGTGGGAGCCGGTGTCTTCTTCTTCGCCGTCTTTGGCAACGAAGCCGTGATTTGTCGCATGTGAGTGATGAGACGAGGTGGCGCTATGGTGCGCCCAAGTGCCGCCTCGGCCGCCTCGCGGGCATCCCATGCCTTGACGAAGAGGGGGCTGAAAGAGAGGTGCATTGGGCTTCGCGCATGGGCCGTCATATTTCTCCGATCGGAGTGCTCGCAGATGGTCTGCCACGCTCGTTCGCACAAGTCACCGGTTGTGCGATGTCGCAGCTCCGTGAGCAGGCAGATGTAGGCCGGAAACGGAAAATGCATTTGCGTGTACCAGAGGAATCCCTTCAGATTCTGTCGGGCTTGCATCATGCTATCGTATTCGACCATTTTGATTGCCTCGATGAAGAGCTCATCTCGTTCGCCCGCCGGTAAGGGTGCGGGTGCAGTAAGTGCAACACGAAAAAATCCTGCCACTATCTTGAGTTTGCACATGTTTGCCCGGGTCGTCAGAAGCGTCATATAATGAAGCGGAACTTTCGGATCGCAGTACTTCAGGTAACTATCTTCCATATAAGTCGAAAATCGCTCGAGGTAGCTGGATAGCCGGTGGTCAGCAACGCTCGCGATCGCTTGCGGATTCGATTCCGACGATTGTCCCCTCATTTTGTCGTTTCCCGGTGCTTTAGCAAACTCAAGACGGGCGAGGGAGAATATCATCTCGGTCGCGCCCGTGTGTGGTGGTGGAGGATCTTTGGCGTGGAGATGCAAGTCGGCATCATTGATATTGAGTGGTAACTTGCAGTTGCCTCCGTTGGATATGGCGGTGATGATGGAACCGCAGACCTCTCCGATGCGCCGGTCGAAGCCTGCGAGGGTCCACCATAATCTTCGCCTCTCTTCCACCTCGAATGGGGAAAGCTGGAACTGAGCACCATCACGATGCAGGCCCATCCGCTGGGCAAGGCGCACAGCTATTCCTGTCAAGCAGAATAACGACCGAGGATCTGAGTACTGACGAATACCAATCTGATAAACTTTGTTAGGGGGGGGGGCATGTCTTAGATGACCAGTTTGGATGCAACCTTACAAGGTATAGCAAGTAAGCCTGCAGCACGGTCAGGTCTGGGTTACGCATGAAACCTGCATTCAGTAGAGCTTGCTGGGCAGCCCATTGATACTTGGCAAGCAATATCATTCTGGATTCGTTAAACGTAGCCTGGCACTCTTGCTCATCTATACTCGTGATAGCCATCAAGTATATCGAAAACATCAAAGCCTCAAGAGGCCGTGACACTTTGTCGAGGTTTGCGCTAGCTTCGATGATGCGCACTTGCAGCGTGGGCGTATGTGT